AAGCTCACTGAAAGCTGAATAGGGGCTGCCTGAGACTGACCCTTGTGAGAATATGTAGAGAAGTTGAGGCTGACAAGCAGTTTATTGGATAAGCCTTATGCAATATCTTGTTACAGTTACAGGGTTAGTGCTTTGGAAAATAGGAAGACTTGCCATCTTCATATAATCCAAGGAACTATGTTTTTGTCCCAAAGAAGAGAAAATAAGTAGGACTAGGCTCTTGTCACTTTTTTGCACTAAACAAAAGGTAATATGTATATGTCTGAATACTCCTGTGGTGTTTGAGAATCTTTAGGAAAGTTTCTCTCTCAAAGAGGTGTAAACTAACCAAGTTACACCTGTGCTAGTATGGCTCCATGTTTCCTGTTACCCAGGTAGTGCCTTACAGGCTCAATCTCTTCTATAGAGTTTCTTTTTAAGTCTTCCTGAAGGTCTTTTTGCTTTGTTTTGAATTCACAATCCCATAGTGATAGCTGAAATTCATTTTCTAGAAAGGGATGATTTTTCAATGCCTGCAAGAAGCTCTGTTTCACCTAAGTTTTAGTTAAATTTGTGGAGAATATCACAAGATCCTAGTTTGTTCAAATGAAAACTTTCTGCATAATACCCACAGTGTTGGAAGGAAACTACCTCTCCACCTAGTTTATTGTTAAACAGATAAGTATTCTGTTTTCTCTTTTTTTTCCCTACTTAGATATTAATGAATGTAAAGTGTTCCCTGGTATGTGCATGAATGGTAAATGCAGGAATACAATTGGAAGTTTCAAATGCAGATGTAACAATGGGTTTGCTTTAGATATGGAAGAAAGAAACTGTACAGGTAAGTCTTACATTTTCCAGTGTTTAAGGAAAGCTTAGTTCCTTTTGCTCAATATGGTAATCTGAAAACTTGAGGTGGTTCAGATCTTGTAGTTTTTGAGAACTTTCCCTTACCAAGAAATAAGAATTGCTAAATATAACCTATTGTGAAGAACACACAAGTATTCCATCCAATAAATGATTCTCTGATAATTGTAACATTCTTTTAATAGATTCCCATACCTAAGAAATTTGTTAAATTAGGGTTGAAGTTGCTCTAATCAATTTCCTGTCAATGTCGCTCCCTCAAAATTAATACAATTATCAGTTAAAACAACATTAACATTTATATTGATACAATTCACATGCCTTATCATTTGGTCATTCAGTGGCACTTTAATTAGAGCAGTTCAGGGAGCCACTTTAATTAAAGTGCTGCTGTGTCTTGTGTATCAGTGTCCCCACACTTAAAAATCCTGGCAGGGGCACTTGAACTAAAGCTAGTTTGATGAGCTTTAGATAAAGTACCCTTGCCACCATTTTTAAGCGCAGGGATACTGATACATGAGACGCAAAAGGCTGCTGGAGCACAGAAGTTGCTACGCTCCAGCAGACTGGATTAATCAAATCTGCTCTGATGCACTGGAATTCCAGCATGTCGAAGAAGACTCCACACTTGTGTCTAAGCATCTATGATGTTTGAGTAGTATAGCATGTGAATTGAGGTTGTTCTGGATGTTACCTACTTTTTATTTTATTGATGAAAAGTACACTTGGGCAACCTTAATTCTAAATTAATGAGTGTGTGTCAGATTTTTTTTTCTCACAAAGGCTTTGCTCCCTTACACTTTTGCATATCTGAATGTGGTGTAGGAATTACAGGAGGCTAAGGGAAAGTAAAATTGAAGGAAAGGAAAAGACTTTTACATAAGAAAAAAAGTACAAAAACTCAAGAGTTTAGAACTCTATTTCTTTTCCTGTCCACTTTTTGTTTCTCCTCATCCCCAGTCTCTCAGCTCTGTTTGCCCTGATATATGTGTCTAAACTTAGTCAGAACCTAAACTTAGTCAGAACCCTGTTTCCCACCATGTCCTGACTACCTCCATAATACAATCCTGCAATTATCTTTATATTCCCTGGTATTCTTCTCACATCCTCCTTGTCATTTTATCTATGAAGTCAACTAATACTTCCATAAAAATAATTCCAAGAGATGTGATAAATACATCAAATAGTTCTCAAACTTTGGAATGTTTGGTGGTAGCTATTGGATAATTATCACCCTGTAAAATATATGATCTTAAAATGATACAAAATGGAAACAGCCTTGATGCTGTTTCAAAGCTTAGAATTTTGAATTCATTATAATAATTTTTTTAAAATATTAAGTATACTTAGTTAAACATTTAGGTGCATCACATGAGATTTTACTGGCATGAGTTTTCCATTTGTTGAAGAAGCAAGATTCATCTTAAACTGTATTTGGTGTTTCTCTCTTTATTTAATGTGAAATAGACATTGATGAATGCCGTATCTCCCCGGATCTCTGTGGAAGTGGTACTTGTGTCAACACTCCAGGAAGCTTTGAGTGCGAGTGCTTTGAAGGCTATGAAAGTGGGTTTATGATGATGAAGAACTGCATGGGTAAGCTTTGTCAGGAGGTATTGCAGTTTTTCTGTTCACTGTTTCTGGGCATGATGTTCTAAATGCATGCATTGATGTGCTAATTACCCATGCCATGCACACCCTTTTCCAATAATTAGCCCTCCAAACTTGGGGTGCATGTCTTAAGTGGGAAAGCTTATTTTTCTGTCTCAAATGGAAGCATGAAGGGCCTATAATGGCTATTGTTTTTCTTCCTTCTCTCCATGTGGCCAGCTATGTGGAGGGGGGGCAAAGTCCAATATTGAAAGGGCTAAAATTAGTGAACCAAAGAGTCAGCTCTGTCCCTGCTCCATGCAACTATTATTCTGGAAAAAATTCCCTTCTTTCTTCATTTTGCCTTCCCAAAACAAAGTGCATGTCTTATTTGGAGGGGTGTGAAATGTAAGAAAATATGGCAGTAGACGCAAGTACTGTGACTGCTTGCACAAGTCTGGTCTATGACTGCTATGAGGGAGGGACTGGGGCCATGCTCAGTGCCCCAGGGTAAAGTGGGGACAGAGTCTGCCAGCACAAAGTAGAAGCTGCAGGGAGTGGGGAGCAGAGGCCAGAGAGAAGGAGAGAACGGAGGTGCGAGTAGGGAGCAGAGGGAGCAAGTGGAGAGGAGGGACTTGAGGCTGAGAAGAAGGGGGTGTGGGAGATGGGGGTGGGGGGAAGAAGGGAGTAGAGACTGGGGTGGAAAGCGAAGGCTGGGGGAGAGGTAACAGGGGGAAGGCACAAGCAGGGGGCAAACTGCTTGATCTCCTCACACTACCTGCCTCCTCACTGCCTGTCCCCTGCAACCGTGGGAGGAATGAATTAAGGGCAAGCCTCCAGTAATTCCATTCTATGCCTGAAAAATCACAACAAATTTATACATTTTCCATGTATATAATTTAATTATTGAGGGGTTGTCTTGAACTCAGGATCATCTTACATTCAAGTACATACAGTATAAATAACAGCAAGCAACCTTTTCAAATATACGTCTGAATGTGTCCATTTTGATACATGAAAATTTGCATGTGGAAAATCAATCAGTTTTATTGACAGACTTTGATGTGCAGGTCTCTGTATGCAAAAATGATCCATCTTGCACAAATGAAATCATAGAAATACGATTTCTGTTTGGACACTTGACAGCATTTAGAGTACTAAACAGAAATTCTCTTTGCCTGCTTTTCTTTTTTTTCAAATTATCAACTGAATGAAGAATTGCATAATTATTTCTTAATAATCAAGAAAACAAAACTCTTTCAAGATCTATTATCATAGTTTCTTTGCCTAATCTGTTATGAGAAATGAGAAGATAAATAATTGTTGCTTCACCGTAGCTGCTTTCTGCTCTATGAATCTCAGATTCTTAATTGTGTTCAGATGTTGATATTTGTTTTCCTGTTCTTTTCCCCTCACTAATTATTCTCTTTAATTGTTTCTCATGGTTTTCTTTTAGACATAGATGAATGTGAACGTAACCCTCTCTTGTGCCGTGGTGGAACTTGTGTGAACACAGAAGGTAGCTTTCAGTGTGACTGCCCTTTGGGACATGAACTGTCGTCATCACGTGACGAATGTGTGGGTGAGTTTTAGCTGCCTGCATGTGGTGTTTATTTGTGCTATGGGAACTGTCTGTTGTTGAGAAGGAGGGGGCCCCAGAAACATTTGATGCAAATTTATGTTTTATCTTGTTTATGAATTCTTTTGCTTTGAAACATCACATCCTGATCCTGGAAGATCTTCAGGACACTCAGCACCATTGACTTCAAGGGGTGTTAGGAGTCTCTGCGGACTTTGCATATGTTGAATGCCACACTAGACTGAACACAGAAATTATAGAAGCATTTTGGCCACTTTGAATTCAAACGTGAAAAAGCACAGAGTACAATTTTTTTCATGTAACCACGAATCAAATATTAAGTTCTGTAACTTAACCTAGCTTTCCTTTCTGTAATTGGAATTCTTTGCATTTTTCTCTTGTTTCACCGCTTCACTGAAATGGGTCACCTGTTCAGTTTCATTGTTTTGGTATATATCCACTTAGAGGTACTTTAACATATAGTAGCCATTACAAAACCAGCCTTTTGAAGGATAAGTAATTGGAGCAATTCTTCTTTTTCAGATATAAATGAATGCTCGTTGAGTGATAATCTCTGCAGAAATGGCAAATGTGTGAACATGATTGGAACTTATCAGTGTTCTTGTAACTCGGGATATCAGGCTACTCTAGACAGACAAGGCTGTATTGGCAAGTATTGGATGCCTCCACCTTCCTACTTCTGTTCCATCTGTCTTTCTCTGCTTTAGTCTTACTCTATTCATTGAAACAAGTAAGGACGGCTTTCTGAGAACAAACTAGTTCAATTGGTGACTTCTTCCAACATAGATGGAAGGATCACATTGTGTAAGTTTAAATATTGGGAAAAGAATTCCTTGTGTCCATGCTGAGGTCTTGATTTAAGTGGGTTAATTTTAGCTAACATACAGGTGCCATTGCTCAATTTATTCTCTGAACAAAAACAAGAAAGAGGCCTCACTGCAATTTTTCTTAACTTTGATTCTTTATACTCTGTTATGGACTGTAAAAAAATTTTTAAATGGTGCACTATCTCTGTAAATGAGTTATTTGTTAGTAGAGTTATTGCATGATTTATACCTACAATTCAGTAATTGAATAATACTGCATAAATTACAATTCATTAATTTATTTATGAGAACATTAAGTTATTGCAATTCATAGCATACAAATACTATGTATATGTATGTCTGAGAGAATTTAAATAATGGTAAGAAATTTTGCTACGGTTCAAGACTTCACCAGGTGTTCCCATTTCAGGAGTTTTATTTCCATAATGTCATGTTTTATTTTCCTGCGACCTTTATTTTTTACAGTACTAGCATTAAATATGAGCAAAGGTAAAGCTTAAAAGCAGCCACTTGCTTCCATAGATAAGAGTGAGTTGTGAAGGAGCTAAAGCTAAGTAAAGTCTAACTCAGAGTATATAAATTAAGACTACCAGTTCAAAATGAGATAATACTTAACATTGATTAGCTTGCAGTTAAAAGGGCAAGAGAAGATGGTTTTCCTCTGATGATAGCAGGGTTGCCAAATAATATGTTAATGTTATTTTTACAGATATTGATGAATGCATGATAATGAATGGAGGCTGTGATACCCACTGTACTAACTCAGAAGGCAGCTATGAGTGTAGTTGCAGTGATGGTTATGCTCTCATGCCAGATGTCAGGACATGTGCAGGTAAGGAAGAAGGAGACAATAATCCTATTGTAATATTTGTATGAGATTCTTTTTTTAATCCTAACTTAATCTCTATCTATATATGTCTTACTCTTGTCTACTCTTACTGCAGATATTGATGAATGCGAAAATAACCCAGATATCTGTGATGGTGGGCAATGTACTAATATTCCAGGAGAGTATCGCTGTCTTTGTTATGATGGATTCATGGCTTCTATGGACATGAAAACCTGTATTGGTAAGGACCAAAAGTGGCAAGTTCAGTTATTTTACAAGTTGCTCTAATGCATGCGTTTTACTGATGAATTACTGGAAACGGAATAAAACTTTGTAACAAAAAAATTTAAAAGAAAAATCTGTACCTTTTGTAAGGAACATCCTGAGCTTCCTGTATTGATTCCATGAAGAGAATTAAAAAAAAAATTATCACAGCACTAAAATCATTTAATGATAACTGTATAATTACTGCATCTTATTATAATTGAGGTAACATTATTTAGATGATATAATTACAGGACTTCTTCAATACCTTAATTCTTAGAATCTCTTGTATATGTAACCAGAATTCTGAATTGCTGTGTTTTTTATCTCTATGTTACTTTGGTCCTGTATCACGCAATTACCAAGTTAATTGTGCAATTAATTTAGACTGCCTACACTTGCAAATTAACAATCACACAATAAAAATGTCCAACCAGCTATAACATTGTTGCTCAAAAATGTGTAATAACTTTGTAGCTGTTTGATATCCAACTTTAATTTGCATGTGTAGCAGGGTCTTCCCCTGTAGCTGGGATCTGTCTGGGCCACATGGGTTCACTATGTGTAGTCAGGACTGGGAGTCCCACAGCTGAGGAGACACTCAGCCCCAGCACTGCTGGGCAACTGTGGACTCTTGAGTCCCAGCAGCAGCCTACAGCTGCCAAAACCCAGCATCCTCAGGTGAGCGACTCTGGGACCAGGCAGACATGGGGTGCAACTGTGATCTCCCAGCCACAGCAGTGCATAGGAAACCTGAGACATTCCTGGTGGCCCCATCAGCTGGGAACAGCCCTGGGAGCTTGCTTCTTGTTGGTGCAGAGGAGCCTGGGATTTTGCTGCCCCTGCACCAGCATTAAGGCATGACAGGATCTAATGCACAATTCCACAGTCACACTTACTGCCAAGTACATGTGGCATGTCTGGAGGTGTGACTATGCGGTACCCATATTAGATTCCATCGTACCTTTACCTGGACATGTAAAGGTACCCTGACAAATGCTTTCAAAATTAGACCAGTGTTTTGTCTTGTGGGAACACATTATGCACATGCAGGCACACACATATAACACTTGCACAAAAAGATTACAAAAATTAATAGTACAAAAGTTAAGGACTTAGTAGTTAGGAAATGTTAGAATTAAGGTTACCTATACATTCTTGGAACTGAACTACCAGAACTTACCTTGACTTATTTTGAAGACGATTTTTAATGAAGACTTTTTTCCTCTAATTTAATCTGTTTAATCTATTTACCTAGTTATACTGTGTATTTATACTTACCTCGGTTTTATTAGTCTCCACTGATTCGCTTTTAAACACACATTTATAATCTCTGTCCATTCCGATAAGACACAATTATTTTATACGTGATTTCAAATGCAGGGGTTAGTGCCGTATATAACTGTGCACCGTATTGCAAGCATCTGTCAAACAAGCCCTTCCGTTTTCACTTCCTTGTTTTCATTCCACTAACAGCCCTCATTTTATGTATATGTTGGTCCTGCAGACTGAGGAGAAAATGGTTGAAAAGTGATACTGAGGTCTCCTTGGCCAGCAAGTGTCCTCTGCTCACTGAATATGAGTTTTGGTTCTTCATTTGCTAAAATGCTCACATCCTTCTGGGCTCTTGGTTGCAATCCAAGTCCACTGATCTGATCATTGTTTACCCAACCAAGTCAAAATCCAGCATTGCTGTTTTCACTGCTTCCCTGTTTCACATTGTTAACTCTGTTAATACAGATGAGATCAACTTTGCCCTCAGTTGTCCTCCCCTTGGAACAGAGACTGTGTTAGAATATAGTGCAGTACCAATTTCTCAGTTTCAGAATTAATAGATACTTATTAATTGCATCATCCACTTTGGCTACATAGACGCATTCAGTTGATATGGGAGAATTCCTCTGCTTAGTTTTCCTGGTAGAAAAAACTGACTGAAAGGGTTAGTCACCCAGTTCCCTTCCCAAGGCCAGTCAACTCTGTGTTCTGGGTTTCCAGGCAGTTTATTTTTCATGGTGCAATCTTGTCCCCACAGAAACAAAACAAACAATAAAAAAACAAGTATGCAAAACAACAAAGAAACAGATAGATAAACAAAAATGGTCGCCTTTCCTCAGAGGGCAACCCAAGCTCTGTGCTTCTTCCTCATCAGCCTTCCCCTCTTCCTCTTTGCACTCTGCTCCTGGAGCTTTTGACCCTCTTTGTGGCTCCACCTTCATTCACTTGTCATCAGTTGCATGTGGCCCCCAGCCTTCCACCCAGATCACTCATGAACTGCTGCCTACCTATGCATGGTGCCTCCGTCCCTGAAGGCAGTACCTCCTTACACTTACTTGAACAGATATTTAAATGGGCAGTTAGGGGGCACCCCTATGCATGCATCTCAGCATGTTCTGCAGGCTCTGCAGTCTGCCTGGTGACAGATAACAGCAGTTCACAGGGCAGCCCTAACTGATTGACCCAGACTGTAGAAACTACAGCACCTTAATGAACATGTAGACGTGCCTTCTGAAACCAAAAGAGTTATATTTATTCCCAACACCAGCAAAAAAAGGGCTTAAAGTTCCCCATATATGAGATCCAGACCCCCTTTCCAATTCACTTTAGTCAGGACACGTTCAATGTGACCCTGGAAAAAATCAGTCAATCTATATCTGTCTGGGAAGTCCCAGCAGAAGAGAAACACCAGCATAAGAGTAAAAACGACTTGAAATCCTAAGAGACAACTCCCTTCTAAAGGAAAAGTTTCAGCACTGCTACTTACCTTAAAATTTTGTCTAGCTGTAATTTATATTGACCACTTTACTTTTCTCAAAGCAAAGCAGGTACCAGCAATATCTTTTCATTCACACCATAGCAATTCTCTTTCATTGGTAGATTACAATTTTATAATTTTTTTTAAAAGGGTATGTAAAAACATTGGATGACATCTTTGGAAGAGGCATTACATTTCTGCGTGTCTTGGCATCACAGGATTGTTTAGTATTATAAATCATAGTATCATTAGGTTTGCTTGTTCATCTGCTGGACATTTACCCAATTTTAATATTTGGCCTAACAGAGAAGGTTTGTTACCCTTCATAGTTCTAATCAACATTTCAAAAAATACAACTGCTTTTACCTAGATTTCACTTATTTCTACTATTATCATTTTATTATTTTTTTCCCTGTTCCAGTGGTCCTCAGGAATATAGAAAATAGTACTAAATATTCTAGTCCTGCAGGCTGGATGAGTGGTATGGGCCAGATTCTGTGGGCAGGGCCAGTCTGTGGGCTGGATCCTGCACGGAATTGGTGCTTGCAGTTGATCTTCTGGTGCGAAACAGCTCATCAGCCCAGCTCCACACATCAGATCTGACCACAGAGCAGTCCTGTGCTCCAGCATGAGTCAGCACATGAGGCCACATGATTCAGCCCACAGGACTCCCTGCAGGTCTGAAAATTTGGCAAATGGGGAGTGGTGCCAGCATTAATACTGTCACAATTAATACTGCCAAATTCCTGGACCTGTGAATAACAAAGCTCTGCAAACTGGATTTGGCTAATGCAGGTATAAGCAGCTCCCAGCATGCGTGCCAATTAGTGGCATGCAGAGACATTTTCCCCGGCATGCAAGGAAATTTTTTTTTTTTTTTTTTTTAATGAAGCTGCTGTCAAGCAGCCATAGGTCCCAGCGCCACAGCAGGCCCTGGGGGCAGAGTCAGGAGAACACAGGCAGGGACGATGTCTACATTCTGTTGACCCCGCTCCTTCCCCCAGGCTGCACTCTTCAACCCAGCCTTGCCCCTGGATGGAGATGTGGGTGTGCAGGGCCAGGTGGGCAGAGCTGGGGCCTGGGCAGGCACTGTGCTGGAGGCTCCTAGTGGGTGGGCAAGCCCACGGCTTGGGCAGACAGATACTCCATCCCACCTGGGTGGGAGTAGCAGCGAGGCACTGAGTGCTGGGGCTGGGTCCTCAGGGCAGGGTCCGGGTGGCACAGGGAGAAGCAGGCATAGGGGGAGGTGCTGTGGGCAAGCAGACCCGGCTGGGTCCTTGGAAATGCAGGGCCTGGGTGAGAAGCGGGGCTGCTGCCCCCACCTGTGGCACCTGTTTCTGTGGCCCAAGGGATTCCTGCAGCCAGGACCTTGCACTGGAGGCAGCTGCATCCCACTTGCACTGTGCCCGGTGTGCAGGAAGGCTAAGCCGGGAGCCCCCCAAGCCTGGCATTCTACCCTGGCCAGGCAGTGTCCCCTCACAGGCAGGGCGGTTGCACCCCATGCCTGCAGAGCTGTGTAGGCCGGGCCCCACCTTGGGTGCCGCTGGGAGCTCCCGCTGCGGCCCGAGCCCATTTAGCCCCAGGGCAGTCCCTTTTCCCACTCAGCCCCCACTTCCCCAAGGCCCTGGCTGGGCCGGCCTGCCCATGGCTCCTCCCCCCATGCCTGCTTCCCACACCCCCCCAGACCCTGCCCCGAGCACCTGGCCCCGACACTCGCCCACCCGGTGCTGTCCCCACCCCAGTGGGAGGGGGCATCCATCTGCCCAAGCCTTGGCCAGGCCCTCCCTCTCAGCTCTGGGCCCAGGCTTCCTTCACTCTGGGACCACTGGGGAGCCCTGAGTGCCCTGGCCCTGGTGGCTGCTACTGGGGTGTCACCACCTCCCTCTGCCGGATGCTGCCCAGGACCAGCAGGCCCAAGCTGCAGCTGCTGGTGCTGGAGACATTGACGGCAAGGGACATGCCCACTTTCTCTTTTTCCTTTATTTTGCTTTTTCTTTTTTCTTTTCTTCTTTTTCTTCTCCTTTTCTCTCCTTTTTCTTTCTCTCTCCTCTCTTTTCCTCTCCTTTTTTCCATCTTCTCTCTTTCTCTTCTATTTTTTCTCTCTCCCCATTTTGTCTACTCTTTTTGTCTTCTCCTTTATTTTTTTCTCTTTTTCTTTCTTTCCCTTTCTTGTTTTTTTCTTTTTCTCTCCTTTTTTCTCTTCCTTTTTCTCTCCTTTTTCTCTTTCTGTTTTCTCTCCCCTGTTTTATACTCTTTTTTCTTTTTTCTTTCTCAAACTTTCTTTCTTTCCTTTTTCTCTCTTTTTCCTTCTCTCCCCTCCTTTTTTCTCTTCCCCTTTCTTTTTTTCTCTCTCCTCTTTTTCTCTTCTTTTTGTCTCTCTTTTCTCTCTTTCTCATCACAATATGCTTAGCAAAATAGAATATGCAAGAAGAAAGGTAGTATATGAAATTGTATTTATAGTCACCAGATTTAGAATTTTTAGAAAACGTTTTGTATGCCATGTACAAAAGCAACATTTATGATTATTAACTACATTAATATGCAGTGCGTTCTGCCACATACCCCTGCCCTGGTTTTGTTGTCTGGGATGCTGGTACCTAGCACCTTACAAGGTAGACATTGTGATTTTTGTGGCACTCTGGCCAGAAGCATTGCCTACCTCTGAGCTACAGGCTGAAGACTGAGCAGCATGGATCTAGAAGACACTTCTGCACTGTATCACTTCTACTGTAATCTTGAATAAACCTATTAAAATAACAGCCTATTTACCGATGATTTGAGAATTGAGGAAGAACAAAATATTCTACCACAAAAAAATCGCTATTCTTTAGGGAACTAGAGATATAAAGCATACGAAGGATGAGATGTATCTTGTTGGAGAATAAAAACATTCATTTGGTCATCATAAAAAACCTTTGTAGTTCTAATTTTTGTTAATAACTTTCTCAAATTTACCTGAAGGCTGAAGTTAATCCAAAAAGGTAAAACATATTATTAAACAGCTGTAATATGCAAGTAATAACTAAGCTATATATATTCACTTACAGATGTAAACGAATGTGACTTGAATTCCAACATCTGTATGTTTGGAGAGTGTGAGAACACCAAGGGCTCCTTCATTTGTCACTGTCAACTTGGATATTCAGTCAAGAAAGGAACCACTGGGTGCACAGGTACGTTATGTGCTCAGCATTTGTATCATACACTTATTTTTCCATGTTTCAAGTTCTAATCTTCATCACAATGAGCAGCCCCTGGATGGCTTTCCCATTAATTGATGCATGTTTTAAGATACCTACATATATTGGTAATATACAGTTTAGAGGGAACATGTCCACATTTAATACAAGCAACATTTTCATCAAGTAAATCTAAGGCTATGTCTAGATTATGTACTTCTGTCAGCACAGCTGTTAGTTAGCAGCTGCAAAGAGGTTGTAGCATAGCTGTGCTGGCAGATGACCCTATGGTGAACTGGTAAGCCTGTTCTTTAAGCAGACTACCTTCTTTTTATCATAACAAATGCTTTTGATATCACAGCACCAACCTCGGCTTTGTTGGTTCAGTTCAGGGATTGGCAACCTGTGTTCTGCAAAGCAGGAGCTTCAACTGTGTTCAGCAGTGGAGAGGCTTTACCCAGGCCATGCCAAAATTGAGTGGCAGAAAAATGGCAGTGGGAAGAAGCAGTGACTGAGTCCTAGTAACACCCCATCTTAAACCCAAGCTGGGTCATTCTGGCCTCCTCCCGGAAAATGTTGCTGATCCCTTGTATTTATAAGCATCAGCACTAGAAGGCTTTGCCAGTATAAGTGCAGCAGTAAGTATAGACCTCACCTATGTCACAAGAGGAAGACAAAATGAAAGAGATAGTAAAGAAAAACAGGAAAAAAGGAAGGTGGAAAATAGCTGTTGATGAACCATGTTAGCGAATATACAGAACTGAAGTCAGGCTCAAGGCTTAAATCCATACAAATTGAATGCAAAGGTATGTGTGTGAGGGGAGGAATTCTTCCCTTGGCCAGCATCTGCTTTGATTGATGGATGCTACTTATGCCTCATGTTTGGGGTAGCCAGCGTTCCTGGGGGTGGGGAGATGGGGAATGCCAATACAGAATCCCCAGGCAGATCCTATCCTACTACCTATGTGTTGCCATAAAGGGAGCTCCCATGATATCCACCTGCCCTACCCATCTTTTTTGAGGAGTTAAGCATCATCTTTCTTTCTGCAAATGGGGCCCTTCAGAGCTGCATAGGGGTAACTTGATTTCTCCAAAATTGCACTTCTAGAATATTTGACTTAATCCTATAACTTGTCCTTTAGGGATTTATTACATTAAAAGCCTGGGGTGAATTCTTTCCTTTAATAAAATTTTCATATATTTGCATAACTTTGAATGCCACATTTTTAAACAAATCTGAATCTCTCTCTCTCTCTCTCTCTCTTTCTCTCTCTCTCTCTCGCTCTATATATATATATATATGTATATGTATACATATACATATATATACACACACACACAAAAACATTTTCTCTGATTACTTCAATATCGTAACAAAAGCTGTCATAGATGATAAACCCAGTTTTATATATTTGCAAATGAGTGAAAAAATTAAAATATATTAGTGTAATTTTCAGTAAAACATAAAACAATCATCTTAAATTATAATAAAGTATTGTACTTTTCTTATAAAAATGGTGTAAGAAAAACAGTTGTAAAATGTGTTACCCTGGAAAAGAATCAACGCTCCTGAAATATTGGTGTTGAAATTTTAGTAATCAGTTTGCTCTTTGCATTTTTAGATGTGGATGAGTGTGAGATTGGGGCCCACAACTGTGATGCACATGCCTCATGCGTCAATGTCCCAGGAAGCTTCAAATGCAGCTGCAGAGAGGGTTGGGTTGGAAATGGCATTAAATGTATTGGTAAGCGTATAATAACTGGAGCATTTGTTCTGTAGTCATATACATAGTCAAATATATAAATATGATTTTGTGTTTCTGGGTTCTGTTTCATTTTAAATAGAAAAAAGTTTGCTCTTTTCTCAAACCCCTGTCTTTCTAGTAGTTTACGTTAAGGGAACTTAATATGAAATGATTCAAGTCAGAATATTTATGTTGGCCTCTAATTTTGAGAGGAAATGTATCACTTTACTATAGACATCTTTTGATGTATGTCCAGCATTTTTAAGCTAAATTCAATCAGTGGGAGTGGAAATTGAATTAAATATTTTTTCCAAATCATCTGTGTAAATCTTCTATGCAAAATGTAAAGTTCATTAAATAACAAAGTGGAAGGAACAAAATACTTTGTGTGATTCTGCAGTAGCAATTAATGGATCAATGTTTGTAAGGGAAAGGAAACTAAAAATATCACTTTAATAAGATTTAAAATATCCTGGTCCCTACAGAACCCAGTAGAACTTTGCTGTTTAACCCTAAGAGACCATAGCATATTACTGAATTTTATGAATCGCTAAGGAAATTAATGAACAGTTAAATGGAGAATTCATCACAGACTTGGTTTTCATTGTTTTAACAGCTCCAGTTCATTTGTGTTATTTAATAATATACTTGTAAATATTCTGCAGTGTGTATAGGCAACATGTTCTAATAGAATAGCACTTAAGTAGAGTTCAGTGCATCTGGGACATCTTTACACATGCTCCACGGTGGGGGTGGGAAGCACTTGAATTAAAGCAGCTCTCTGGAGCTTCTCTAATTAAAGTGCACACAGTGTCTCGTGTAGTCAGTGTCCTGTGCTTCAAAATGGTGGTGGGGTGCTTTAACTAAAACTCGTTCAATGAGCTTTAGTTAAAACACCCCTGCTGCCTTTTTGAAATATGGGGATGCTAAATACATGAGATGCCAAGGTTGCTGGAGCATACTAATTGGCTCCAAACTTGATTAATTAAGATTAATTTAGTCTGCTCTGCCATGTGTTAATTAGCATGCATCAGAGCAGGTCTCAGGCATGTGTATAGGTGCCCCAGAAGACCTAGATTCTATTCTTGTTATGTCAGTAGTTGCTGGGTGGTCCTTGGTCAGCTGCTTTACTTCCTTGTGCCTCTGTTTCCCCTTCTGTAAAATGGGGATAATGACACCTAACCTTCTTTGCAAACCACCTGAGATTTGTTTTGTACAAAACTAGATCTTGTAAAAGAACGAAATCTCGTATGTGTTGAATTAGGCCATTTGGATATGTTTTCTGTCATATAAAAGCCTTATTAACCACATGAAAGCCAGTAGTAGGAGTTTGGTTAGAAGACACCATGTGTTACACTGGTCTTACAAACCATTTTATAGAGAATAAGAATGTCTTGCAATACTTCTTTTGACAATTCATCAGCGGTCTTAATGGTGATAGCTAATTATTAGAGAGTTTCTCCTGAGTTAAAAGAACACAGGATGGCTATGCCCTGTAATCCCCAACCACACAACACTCGACCATCCCTAAATTCCACTGAAAGAAAAAATAGATTTGATTATTTATTGAGAGTAAGGAATAGAGCTAATAATAGAAAACTAGGGTAAGAATGCTTTCATTTTGTATGTGAGAGCAGTAAAGGTACCATACCTGAGTACATGGTTGACTTTGAAGGCATCCAAACCCTTTAAACTGGTCACAAAACTGTAATGACCTTCACCTTACCATTTCTCTTTATGTCCCTGAATATTAATATGCATGATTTTTTTTCTCATGCCAGTAATTTAAAACAACAGTTGTCTTCCTTTTTCGAAAATTATTTTGACTCCAACTTCTTTAACAAGGTACTACTAAAAGTTATTTAGAATAATGATTCTTTTTAAGTGCCATAATTTAGTTTATGCAACCATTTCATTCAGATGCGCACGATATATTTTTAAAAGGAAATGTTAAGATGAAATCAGCTGCATATAACCAGATGGCCTTTACTAGAATTTAACATTTCTTCAGGGACATAAGTCTTGCTTGTATTTTTTATTTTGTGTTAGCAGATTAAGTGTAGGACAGTATACTACCTACTGCATATATAGTCTTAGCTTTTCTCATTTCTTTGTTTTCTTTTGGGGTGCAGATCTTGATGAATGTTCAAATGGAACCCACCAGTGTAGTGTGAATGCTCAGTGTGTGAACACACCTGGATCATATCGCTGTGCCTGTGCCGAAGGGTTCACAGGAGATGGATTCACTTGTTCTGGTAAGCGACATGTGAGCTTTTCGGTAAGACTAACATGTCTACCGATTGCTTCTATTACGTAGAAACTTTGTAAAATTAAGTCTAAATTCAAAGGACAAGAGAAAAGGTGTAAAGAAACTGTAGAAACCTCTTCCATCTGAAATGCAAGTCAGTGCCTCCAGAGAGCTCAGGCAGTATGCTAGCAGATGCCTGTCTCATATTTTGACTTGTCTACCACATCCCCAGTGGGCCGGTTTACTGGGTAGGACTCTTGTCTGCCCCTTCCTTCTGCTTTCCGCTCCAGACAGCCTGTGCATATGCTGCTGTCAATAGCAAACTCTCTAGCCAAGAGCATGCAGTTCCAGCTCCCCATTACAAGTCTTGTCCTTGCTGGCAAGATTCCTGTAGCAGAGATTGCAGGAGGACAACAGTTATTTTCCCCTCATGGTGCCAGTTAGGACAGTATTTAGTCATTAATATACCATTTTTTATAAGGATGGTTCAGTTGAAAAATAACATCTCCTTTTCCTTTACATTTACATCGCCTTATAGTTTGTTATTTTAAGACTGAAGTTTTTTCATACAGTAATTCAAAATAATATGAAGGGTTGGCAATTATTGTCATATTGTATAAGCATTCATGAGATTATGTATAGCTTTTATCACCAGCTGCATCCATAATGCAGACTTGAAGGAATATCTGTTTGCATCTATATTCTTGCGCATTTTGATGTACAGTTTCAGCAGCTTGAGAGCTAACCACATTTTAATAGTTGTTTACTTAGGCTGGAAAATCTGAATCCTAATTAATGTTGTGATAGTGTTTATGATGACTGCACTGTTGAACAACAGTCCTATATATATGAAATGTTTATAAATGTAAATGATGCTATCAAAACAGTAAAATCTTATGGGCCAGTTGTTCAAAGAAAGCTTTAAAAATGTGCAGTGATGGGATGCATGGATGTATGTGTCATGGATCCATCCATGCATGGATAGAATTAACTCCTATGAAACCAAGTGGGTCTTATTTTGTATATGCCAAAAAAGTCTTATGTTCTCATATAATTAATAATGCTGAAAATGTGAAAATACAATTTTCATTCTCTTTAATAGAGCTTTCATTTTGAAAATTTGCCTCTGGAAGAGTGTTATTCCAAAAAAAATAGCAATATATTTAAATATCTTTTTTTTTTTACTTCATACATAAATCTGCTTAATTCATAGGAGCAACTAATAATGGATTTGGAAGATGAATCAGTTCAAAATTTGACACTATAAAATCTGGTAGTGAAAATATAAGGGCATGGATTCTCAGCAGAACTAAAAGATAGATGTCAGAAGTAGTTGTTACTATTTTCCTTTCCTAAATTATTTTAACCCATTCAGTCCTTAAGTGGATGATGTAACCTGCTTTAATTCAATATATCATAGTAATCATACAATTATAGAAATGAGGGTTGGAAGGGACCTCAAGAGGTCATCTAGTCCAACTCCCTTCTCAAAGCAGGACCATCCCTAACTATATCATCCAAGCCAAAGCTTTGCCTATCTGGGTGTTACAAACCTCCAAGGATGGAGAGTCCACAGCCTCTCTGGGTAACTTGTTCCAGTGTTTTACTACCCTCCTAGTGAGGAAATTGTTCCCGATATCTAACCTAAACTGCCCTTGCTGCAGCTTGAGACAGTTGCTCCTTGTTCCGTTATCTGCCACCACTAAGAATAGTCAAGCTCCATCCTCTTTCGAACCCCCCTTCAGGTAGTTGAAGGCTGCTATTAAATCCCCTCTCAGTCTTCTCTTCTCTAGACTAAATAAGCCCAGCTCCCTCAGTCTTTCCTCATAAGTCATGTGCCCCAGCCCCTTCACCATTTTTGTTGTCCTCTGCTGGACTTTTTCTAATTTCTCCACATCCTTTCTGTAGTGGGGGACCCAAAACTGAACACAATACTCCAGATGTGGTCTCACCAGCCCTGAATAGAGAGGAATAATCACTTTCCTACTGATGCAGCCCAGTATGCCGTTAGCCTTCTTGGCAACAAGGGCACACTGTTGGCTTTGTATTCATTTTATTGTCCACTGTTATTCCTAGGTCATTTTATGCAGAACTGCTGCCCAGCCAGTCAGCCTCCAGCCTGTAATGATGCAGGGATTGTTCTGTTTTAGATAGAGGACCTTGCACTTGTCCTTGTTGTATCTCATGAGATTTCTTTTAGCCCAGTCCTCCCACTTGTCTAGGTCATTCTGAATCCTATCCCTATCCTCCAGCATATCTACTACTCCCCTCAGCTTGGTGTCATCTGCAAACCTGCTGAGGGTGCACTCTATGCCATCTTCCAGGTTGTTGATGAAGACACTGAAAACCAGCCCCAGGACTGACCTCTGGGCCAATCCACTTGATACCAGCTGCCAACTGGACATTATTATTACCCTCTGAGCCTGAGCCTGATGCTGCAGGCAGTTTTCTATCTACCTTAAAGCTCATTTATCCAACCTGTACTTCCTTAGCCTGTGAAAATATTCAGCAGTATTATTCCATTTATTTGAATGATGAAATAGGAAGAATAAAACTATATAAGTGCTAAAATACCTAGTCATGTTTAATGATACATTCTTTTCTTGCACAGATGTTGATGAGTGTGCAGAAAATGTTAATCTGTGTGAGAATGGACAGTGCCTCAATGTCCCTGGTGCCTACCGTTGTGAGTGTGAGATGGGATTCACTCCAGCTTCAGACAGCAAATCATGCCAAGGTAATTTACCAGTACTTCAACCTCATTTTCTGAGTTTGGATTGGCTGCTATAAAGGAAACCACAAGAAGTGCTGGAAGGACCCAACCTGGAAGCACATGCTTCACATATAAAAGTCATTTCTTCAAGCAAGGATTATTTTGCAGTATGAATTATAATGAAGGTAGCTTTCATGTCTTATGAAGTTTTCCTGGCCTTCGGCCAAGAATCCCAGGGCAGAGGTCTGGCTCAATAAGTTTTTCTTTAACTGTTTCCCATTTTTCTCACTCAGTAAATGGTCTATAGAGAATACCACGTTGATCTCTGCACTTATTTTGTGTGTGTGTGTATACAGGAAATATAAGCTTCATTGAACATCAGTCTGTTTATTAAATATGTACAGGAAATTTGAACGAGGCAGATTGCTGCTAGTTTTATCAGATTTATAACAATCCTTAAAATTTCTCTCTCAATGTTTTTACATCTTTCTCAGTTTATATATATTCTGTTATCTAAGATGTTACTTGAATTATCTTGTTCTTTGTTCAGTTGTGATTCTATCCCTTGTAGTATTTAAGGACTCTTGTTCTAGTCTGATTTCCCTGTGAAAACCCCTGTATGCTTTTAGGAAAGCAAAGGCAAAGGTGAGATATAAATAGGAAACTACTCAAATCATGATTTCTCAGATTTTGCAGAAATCATGAAAACAGGCATTGTCCATGATACCTGCAGGGGAGAAAGAAATGTAATAAAAATAAAATGCTGGCTCCCCCGTGGGAGCCAGCAATCCTTCCGACTGTGCAGCCCACCAGAGGGGAAGGGGAGAGAGTGGTTACCAGCACAAAGGGGAGCAGGCAAGATGGCTGCCTCCCCACCCTTGCCGCTGATTGGCTGAGGGCTGCCTGTCATGCAGCCCCGCCCCTCTCCACCAACCAGCGAGGGGTGGGGCTGCATGATGGAAAGTCATTTAGGCCAATTAGCAGTGAGGGGCGGGGCCGTATGACAGACAGCCTTTTTCAACAATTGGGGAGTGAGGCTACTGGGGCCCCTCGGCCAATAAGAGGCATAGTGGGGTGGCCATGCCATAATAAACTAGCAAAAATGGCAACCAGACCTGTGAGCTGCCTGTGAAATCAGCCTTCTGCCTCCTCAAGTTTGGTTGACCCCTAGATATAAAAGAAAACATTTTGAAAAGCTGTCTCTAAAAGTGCACACTTAATTTAATACATACAAATCTCCATATGAACATACATACATAGCGTCTAATTTTAGCAAAATTATGGAAGCTTCTGAGAAACTGGCCCTGAAAGTCCACTCATAAGATCCATTGTGTTACCAGGATATTATCAGTGACTCATTAGAGAATTTTTCATTTCGAATCTTTAGCTGTTCACTTTGACACTAATGGTCAAACAAAATCTCAAATTGTGCAGACTTCAAAAACCATGTGTATATTTTGAAAACCAAAAAATTCTAACTCCCAGGACAGCAAGGCAAACATTTGACTTTCCTGATGTCATTTAATGAAAAATTGCAAGTTTTGGATGAAATAGTATTTTATCTGGGTAGTAGCAGATCCAGGTTGGGGGAGGGGGCAGTTAGGAGGATTAAAACAGCACATCCGCAAGGCTGAGACCAGTGGCTGGCTTTTCCAGCCCCAGATCTGTGCTGTGAACATGTGCAGGTGTTCATTAGCTGGGTTAACCCAGGCTGATCTAAACATAGTTCATCTCCTGATGTGAACTAATTTCGATTGGGTGTGTCATTTTTCAAGAGGTTTAAGCCCTATGAACACCTGCACACCCAGGCATTGAGATCAACCTAACTGTGGTTCGATCAGTCTAAATGTAATGCTTGTATGTACCCTAAGGAAAGGAGAAACATTAGCTCTGTTTGTTTGGGTGAAAAGAATTTAAGAAGTCGGTTCCTCTCCTCCCCTTCCCTTCCCTTCCGTCCCCTCCCCTCTCCTTCTTGTAGTTTGTAAATAGGCAGATGGAAAAAATGTTCCATATGAGAAGGGATAGCTTTCAGGCATATTAGATCATTTACAGATTGTTTTTGATTTAGCAAAGATCAAAATTAAATTCAATACAGCAGCTTTAAAAAATAACCAATAAGGCTGCCTTTTTTTTTTCCTTTCCTGTTCTGAGTTCTGGAAACTGCCTAGTCTGAGAAGCTGGAAGTATTATTATATAGGGTTCAGAGTATACTTACTTCCTTGCATTATTTTAAGAGATGGTAATCAGCAATTTAGTTTCTCAGATAAAACAACTTTGTTTAAATACCTGTAGAGTAGAAACCCAGTCCTGCAAGCTGCTGAGAGACATCCTACAGAGAGTCAGTGCCTTGCAGGGGCAGCCCCTCTACTTGTTAAAAAACAAACAAACTAATCATAATTTTCTATTTGAAGAGTTTTTTACTATGACTTGCTATGTTTACATGCTCAAGCCCTATACTATGGAAGTTTCAGGTATTTCTAGGACCATGCTTTAAATTAGCAATCCATATCACCCTCGAAGAGCTCATACCACATGTTATTCAAGATGCAGTCAGTATCTTCTGGAAGATGAAATGTTGTGACAATATATAGTTCAACTGATTCATAGGTCTCATTGCTTTTATGACACTTCTCTTACACAGTTCTTTCCGCTAAAGGAAAACACATGGATTTGTTCTTTTAGACTACTAGAATTTCCTTTTTAAATCTTTAAGCAGAAAGGAATTTTGCTTTACAGGCAAGTATACATGAAAACAAAGAAGAGAGAAAGGAAACCTGAATTGAGAGTGCAGCCATTGACACCTACAGAAATGTAAAACTGTACATAGGACAGAACACTTTTTTGTTTGTGAGTGATAGGAAGGTCATCCAAATGAAGGAAGACAGACACAGGGCTAGATTTAAGTGGTAGATTGCAGTGCTAATAGCAGTGGGTAGAGGCACTGTATGCCTGAACTTCATGACATTTCATATATACTAAGCATTTAAGTGGATCCAGTGCAGATTTACAGAACTCTTACCATAGCTTAGGTTAGACTCTCCTGAGCCAATTCCTAGGTTTCAGTTAACTCCTTACTAGGGGCAGGGAACACGAGCAGACAAAAGGGGAGCCTGGGATGATGAAACTTGAGGTCTCCCCATCTCTCATAGGTACAAGCAACAGCAAAATCTCAGAATTCTTCTTTCTGGGAGCTGTTCCCTTGGGCCTTTATCCATAGGAGACAATAACTTAGAGTCTAAACATAGTAAATCTTCCTAGAATGATATTAACATTAATGTATAAATCCTATTCCAATTTAATCTAGCTGATTGACAGAGGGGCTTTGCCTCTCACCCCCAATTGGCAGGGAGGTGAAAAAATGTGGTTTTAAATATGCCACAGTTTTTGCCTCCCACTGCTGGTTGGTGGAGGGTCCCTGGTGGCCCTGCCACTTGCTGCTGACTAGATGAGAGGCAAAAACTGTGGCATAATGAAAACTGCAGTTTTTGCCTCCCAGCCATCAGAAGCAGGCAGCTCCTGATTAGAAGTTCTAGAAAATCTTTTACAAGTATTTTGTTTTAATTTGGAATCCTGAAGATTCTTTTTTTTTTAACCTCAGGTTTACTTGCTAAATAATCCATCTATATCTGAAGATTACACATGACAAATGTAATGGGGAATAGCTGATAGATTTTCATTAAAGCTATTCCTCACAAATTCCTAAGTTTAACTCTGCACAGGAATAATTATTGTATAGAGATATTGCTTCTGACTTTTCAGTATTAAATGTGTTTTTAAAGTACCTTTGTTCTTAACACTTCTGTGAAGATGAAATATAACTTTTTGCTCTGGCTATCTTTCTTCAGATATTGACGAATGCTCTTTTCAAAATATATGTGTATTTGGCACCTGTAATAACTTACCAGGAATGTTTCATTGCATCTGTGATGATGGCTATGAACTGGATAGAACTGGAGGAAACTGTACAGGTATAGTCTAATTCAGTGTTCTCAACATACTTCTTTTTAAGTTTGTTACAATGCCGTATAGTCCCATGATTCTGAGGTGTGGGTAATAAAGTTACCCTTTGCATCACTGCAACTGAAGTGTAACCTCTCTAACAACCTAAGACTTATTATGAAGTTATTCTCCTTCTTTTCGTTTTCTTCCATGTATACTTTTCCTTTCCCTTCTCCTTTCCCATTCTTTCCTCTTATGTACGCTCTACAAGTTTGCTGCACATCTCTAGGAATACAAATGCAGCACTATAAGAAATGTTGTTCTAATCTATCCAGAATTATGTAAAAGAAATGTAGAATTTTATCACATTATCTATTTTTTCCATATCCTGGCTACATGTAAATAATAAAGCCAATTTAGTAGCTTTTAAGCTGTCACTAACACTTCGTAACTATGAAATATTTAAAGCTTCTAGCTCAAAGAAATATATTTAGGTAAATATTAAGAAAAAAAATCCCCTTTGCTTTCATTTAGATTTAAGGTTTACAGTTATTCCTTCATCATCATACAAATCCCTTCCAAATGGAATATTTTTCTGTGACTATATGGTGATAATTCTTAAGTGTTCATATAAAATTAGTTAAGACACAAGGGTGTGTCTACCTGTTCATTAATGCTCAGTAGCTATTGTGCATTTAGTTTAGTACTTGTTTAATGAAGTACTAACTAAATATGCAATAACTATAGTTACTGCACAGTAGTGCCAGCGTGCAGTTTTTTGTGATGTTTACTGTACAATAGCCTAATAATACTGTGTAAAAGTGTATTAGCAAGGTTTTTGACTGGCATACTACAGCGCAGTGTTATTAGGCTACTGTGCAGTAAGCGTTTCATGTAGACATGCCCTGAGTAACTTTATTATAAAGATTCACAAAAGAGATCTAAAAGTGGACTTTAGTTTTGTGCTGGACTGTTTAATTCTTCTATTCAGTGCTTGTATCTAATCATTGCAGGGCATGGGCAAATTTCCATTAATAAATGCTAATATAGCATCAATCCAGAAATGTATATGGTGTTTTGCAAATATAGAATTAAACAAGGTTCTTGAGGATTTTATTTCATAAAGAGAACCTACAAAATACGTTTTCAATATTCATTTAAGAGTAGGAGTATATGATGAAAGATAGACATAGAAGATGAAGGGCTGAAGTGAGTTTTAATGAGGGTTTTTGAAGGAGGAGTCTTCTTCAAAAGGAGACAGCAGTGTCTAGAATGCTAACTTAATAGACCAAATAGCATTATGCTGAAATTCCTCTATGTACACTGGCTTCCAAACTTACACTGCCTTCCTTAGTGTGCTGCTGCAAATGAGCTAATTAGCTTTGTTCCATTCTACTATGCGGGAACAGACCATTGTAAGTGTAGGTGACAGCATGAGATGAATTAGTGTTCTGCATTCTTGGCTTTTATTTAAAAAAAAAATAAATCCAGGAATTTTTCAGGGTTTATCTTTGAAACATAAAAAACAGTTGAAATCAGGAAGAAAAAAGGAAGAAAGGGGAAAAAAAGTTCATTTAAATTAGGGAAAAATAGGCAGTGAGGGAAGGAGGGAGTAAGGCTGGGACTAGGGAAGGGGAGGGGCACGGCGCAGACCATTGGTCACTCCGGGGGCTGCAGCAGGGAGCAAAGCGGGGGGAGCTGTCAGTGGGTGCAGGGCTGCGGGGGCACAGCTCTTGCTGCTACATACCCCCCAGGAGGGTTGCAGGCTGGTGAGCTGTGCTGGGCTCTTCCAGGGGGACCCATGCACTCGGATCTGTGTGTGGGTCAAGAGCAGGCTGCTGCTGCAGGCTAGGACTGATGGTGGCACTGGTCTCTTCCCAGTGCTTGGCAGCCTGATCTCACTGCAGCATGCTGCCGCTGCAAGCTGGGGCCAGCGGCAGCACCGGGCTCTTCCCAGCACTTGGGGCGGGTGGCACCCAACTCTTGTCCTGCACACAGATCTAGGGGCATACACCCCCAGGAGGACTGTGGGCTGGGGGGCTGTGCTGGGTTCTTCCCAGGGGGCACATGCCCCAGATGTGCACGCAGGACAAGAGCAGGTTGCTGCCCCCGTTCCCCACCCGTGGGGCTCCCAGCGCCCAGGGCAGGGCCAAAGCTGGAGCTGTCAGGCTGCAACTCGGACCCACTTGCCCTGGGAGTGATTCCCTTAGCCTGTTTCACCCCACCTGGGGTCAGAGCTGGGAGCCCCATGTCCCCAGGCAGCGGCTCCAGCCACCCTTCCTCGGCCCCCGCCTGGCCACCACAACCACACCTGCCCCCCACTCCACAAGCAGCCAGTGCCACTGCTCCTCCTTCATCCTGCCCCTGTCCAGTGGGAAACCTGTGTCTCAGGTAACTGGCACTTTTAGCTTACCAGCACCACCCATTTTTCAGTTCAAGTCCCTGTTAACTGGCACGAATGGGGTATGGGCCATGCCCCACTCATATCAGTTAACAGGGATTTGAACTGAAAAACGTGTGTAAACCAGTAAAAACTGAATGGCTTTAAAAAAAAATCAGGGAATTTATCAGTGAAAATGGGTAAAAACTGAGAATGCAGAACACTAGAAATGATGCATAAAAATTAGAATGTGCTCTTTTTCTAAAGTTTTAATTTTAGGAGACTTAGCCAAACTGTGTTCCTATCTGGAGCACTTCAGAAAACACAGTATAAAATTCTCTCTTATATAAACATTCTTTTTTTTTAAAGCTTATTCTTTTTCTTTTTAAATGAAGGCAGTATTGTCCTGTTAACTTGTTTTACTGGTACAGCTTAACGTAGAGTGCTTCCCATTGTGCAAAGTGGATACGATCTGTTTTATTCTAGCAGAGCTACTCACACATTGTCACATGCTATATGACTTGGTACCTCAACTTAGAGTGGAACCTATTGTGTTCATTGAATGTTCAGTTATTTTGCATTGCCTCTGTTACTATTGCTCTCCTAACATATGGGTGTGATATATCTTTTATATGGATTTCTTTATATAAATTGCAGTGTAATATTTTGATGGAATCTGCCTAATTAGATATAAGTAATATTATTTGTCCTTTACATTTTGGAACTGTTAGTGTTTACATATTTATTCAGCACAAAATACAGTGTACCCAAGCTTATCCAGACTTGAGTTAACCAAAATTTTTGGTGAACTAAGCATGTACTAAGTCTTCCTAAAGCAATTAAGGCTAAGCTTTATTTCCTCAATTAAACAAAGTATTATGTAGGACTCTATACTCTATAACTAATCTAAGGATAGGACATTTTTAAAAAAAATTAAATTTGCAAGTGTAGAAGGTTATTTTGAGTGTTTGACAAATTGTTAGTAGTTCTTCAACTTAAGGTAAAGATAAGAATTATCTCTCTTTTGAAACATTCCTACAGAACTTTCTTCTTAAAGTTATATACTTTTCGCTTTTCCATACAGTGAACAAATTTACTTTCTTATTTTAGATATTGATGAGTGTGCTGATCCCATTAACTGTGTTAATGGACTATGTGTGAATACTCCTGGGAGATACGAATGTAACTGTCCACCGGATTTCCAGCTCAACCCAACTGGAGTGGGTTGTGTGGGTAAGTCAAAACTATATCAAATAAATATGAATTAGAGGCAGAAAACAGTGAGTAGAAACTTAGGGCACCTATACACAAGCAGCAAGACTACTCAGATGCTCTGTAATTATAGCAAGTCAGAGCAGGCTTGTTTAATCAAGGGCTCCGTGGGCTCAAGCAGACTCCATCAGCATCCCCATGCTTAAAAATGGTAGCTGTTTGAAGTCCCTCTAATTAAAGCGCCTTCCCTCCCAACTTCTGGAGCATGTGTATAAATGCCTATTTGTGTAGGCTTTAGTCGCACTATCATCCAAGTGATCAGAGTTGATGACAGCGGGGCTAGTGCAGGGATAAATACAAATCCAAAGTATGTTTCTATTTCACCCTTTTTATACATGGGAAATACTTAGATCAGTCATGCCTCATTGCCCATCTTACAATTTACTGATTAATGGATTAATTAATTACAACATTCCTACATACCTCTCATATCTCTTGTACCAGATTTGGTTAAGTCCTACTGCTCCAGGCCTGTCTCATGGCCTACAATCATAAATATACAACATTAGCTTAAAGTAAGTTAATATCATTTCAGATGCTGTCTTAATTTGTCTTGTTTCAGCCTTTAATACCACTCAATTGTAGAGTCAGCCACCAACATCCCTTTTGTATTCTGATCAGTTGCATTTTTTCTTACCCCCAAATTATTGATATCTTTCCCAATACATCTTTTCGCCTCAGTTTTGGTTTTCCTTTTTTTCCTTTCCTTGTCAAATTTCATTTCCATCCCTGTTCTCACTATACTTAATGATTTTCCATGCAGGACCTTGTGATTTCAGCCTGAGCTTCCTGGCTCAACAGTAGTCCAAGAACCAGTCATTTTTTGCTGTTGTCATTTCTTTATCTTTCTGTCTCAGTGAAACACCCAATATTCACATAAGCATCTTCATCTCAGTTGGCTCAAGTACACTTTCATCCTTTCTTCACATTGCCTAAATTTCCAATGGCCTCACTACTGTCATGTAAAATTTAATCTTCAACTTCCCTTCTATCTTTTTATCACATACAGACCGTGTAGTCAGGATTAGAGCTGATTACTGTGTAATAAGCGTCACTGTCTACATGTACAGCTGCTTACTGCACAGTAATTTGCTGTAATCCAGAATAAATATGCTACCTGTAGCAGATTTACTTGGGAGTAATTAGTGTACAGTACAGCACATGTAGATGGCTTAGGACTGGGATGACTGGGAGCAAATGTGTTCCCAGGCAACTGGGCAGCAGGGGGTGGGAAATTGCTCCCTGCCCCCAGGAGTTGCCTGCTGGCAGGTTGGGCTCTGCCACCAGATCCTGGGTGGGGACAATGTCCCCCTGCCCTGGCAGCAGTGAATGTACAGCCCCCACTCCAGAATTGCGAAGAATCTTTCCTGCTGCCAAGTCAGAGGGACATTGTCCTTGTCTGGGCTCTGGTGGTAGAGCCTTCCCTGGCAGCAGGGAGCTCCCAGTAGCAGGAATCTACATCCCAGCCTCTGTCAGGAGACAGCTGTCTCCTGGTCCTTGCTCCCTGCCAGCCCCTGGATTAGCAACCAGGGGGAGCCTAGCTGCTGCAGGGGGCTAGTGCAAGGCCTGAAGAGGTAGAAGCAGATTGCTGCCATGAGCAGCAAATCTGTTCCCTCTTCTCTGCATGTGTAGATGCCTGCCCAGGGTGGGTTTACTTTAGAGTAATTTACTCTAAAGTAAACTCACACTGGAGCATTTGCATGTGTAGACACACCCATTGGTACCTAAATCTGTCGATTTTCTTTCCCCGGTTTTAAGTTGGTCTGTTATTTCTTCTTCACAGCTGCTTTCAGTTAATCCCAAATACTTGAATGTGTATACCTACTTTCTTACCGTATTTATGGTCCTCCTGCCTTTAATGTATCTTAACTTTCCTTCCATAATTTTTAGATTTTTCAACAGGACAGGTTTTTGTTATTCTATTTTATAAGACTTCTATCTTTCCTGACTGTTGTTGTCTCTGGTTTTCTGCCATTCCTGAGACGCCTCCTTTTCGTTCTTTATCATATTTTTCATTTTTTAATTCACCACCATGTCTCTTTCTTTTGGGCTTCCCTATCCTTAACTTCCCTGTCCTTATCTTCTCTCCCCCTTTTCCTACTGTCCCCAACATTAGCCTTTTCATG